GCCTTATTCCCCCTGAAAAGATCCTGTGCAGTACTTTAAGTACAACATTCGGCAACCTTGGCCTGGGCAGTGCCTGTGGCTCCAGTGGGGCTGTGCAAGTCGACCCCAGCGGAGGGCCAGACCCCTCTCTGCCAGTGCTCGCAGCACAGTGAAGCAGAGGCCTGGCTATCATCTCCCCTGCTCCCTCCAGGGGGCTGAGATCGGGGCTCTGGCTGGGAACTGACACCTCCCCAACCCTCACCTCAGGAACTGGGCGCCAGCGGGCCCCAGCGCGATGATCCTACTGGCCAGACCCTCCTCCTCAGCCAGGGGCGGTGGAGTTGTCAGTTTCTGCGGCTTGACCAGGCGGCAGGTGATGCGGGTGGGTGCGGCGCAGGTCCGGGGGGGGATGATCACTCGCAGCCCGTTGTGTCGGCTGCCCCTCATGGAGCCACCACGGGCGTCCACCATGAAGCTCACCAGGAACCTGCAAGGACAGACAAACCCACGTGTCCCACCGAGACTCACCAACTGCCTGGCATACGGGTGCACATGGGAGCCAGTCACTCACCCTGTGTGCACGGGGCTGGCCACTGGGCTGATGTTGTCCGAGGTCTCTGTCGCAGGGCTGCTGGGGATTAGGGAGTCTTCGTCAAACTCCTTGGATGGCTGAGCAAATAGGAAACAGCTTGTTAGACACAGCTCACTTGCCCTTCCCATTTTGCTACGCTGGGGCTCCTGGTGAAACCCTGGCTCCCGTACGGCGGGCTATCACCACTCCCACGCCAGCTGAGACCTTGCTCAGGACAGGGCCAGGCCTACTGAAGGCTGAGGGGAGCAAATGTCGCTTCTCATTATGGCCCATTAGGAAACCTCAGCCAAGGGGCTGGTACTTGGACCTGGCGAGGCTCAGAGCCAGCTTGGGAAGGGCCTGAATATTGGAAACCTGAGGAACCAAGAGGCAGTGGCCTTGGACTCCTGCAGGTCCTGGGGCCGGGAACCTCAGCACCCTCATCTCTGCCAGCAGCTCTGCCTCTCGCCACCAGCCAGAGAGGGCCTGGCCCTCAGCTCCATCCTCCTCTGAGGCCCCTGGAATCCAGCACGCACCCAGAGATACAGCCGCAGCACCCTTGTCTGCCAGGGGCCCCTCAAAGCTGCCCCAGCCGACCTCCCGGCCTGAGCCTAGCCTGCCCACAAGGCATTGCTGGGGATGCAGCTCGGGATGGCACCCACTCTGCATGGGTGGGAATAGGGACACGAGAGAGAGGGGGCCTGCCAGCCCAGGCTGGCTGGGGAAAGCCCCTGCCCAGAGCACAGCTCTGAGCCAGACACCACAAGAGCTGGATGGCCAGCACCACGTGAGGGTGGACATGCGGTGGCTGCAAGCCCCCTCTCCCCAGGGCAGGTGAAGGAGGCGGCTCCTCTGCAGCTCCTGCTCCCCACGTCCCCAGCTGTTCTCTCACTAGACAAGGCGTTTGGAATGGACTAGGCCTGACCTCGGCTGTGCTGGGAATTACC